GGAAATCCAGCAGGGATGAACTGCTGGGCTGTTGGCTCCTCTGGTGCTTTTCCTTTTTTACCTGTGTAGGCCCAGGTCTTTGGAGCTATTTGAACATAATCATGGCAATCTCTGTGTACACAAACTAATACATGCAAAGCCTTTTTCACAACCCACGCCTGAGATTGCAAACTCTCCGGCGCAGTGTCTCTCCTCCCTACATGTTTGTATTTGACACATGGGGAGGCCAGTCTCATGGGGAGTTTCCAGACAGTACAGTGTGGAAGCCATAAAATACAGTAGTTCAGATATAAGCAAGGCTAGGACGCTGTTGGTTCAGAGTTCCTGGAAAGCCTGGGATGGTGTACAAATGAGGTAATATCTAAAACATCTTCAAATATGTTTCTAAAGCAAATGTTGCACAACTAAATTAAGGCTTCAGAGGAATAAAAAGTAAAGGCAGATTTGTTTTTCTGTTGAACAGGACAAGTGTGTCGTATTTAATGATTCCCATAGAAAAATGTGGACTTCAAAATTAAAGCCCACAGCCGTGTTGTCAGTCTAACAAAGCATATCAGATTGGGACATACAGAGCTGTAGACCGTTGCATAAAACCCAAGGAATTCTCACCATCTCTTTCTAGTAGTGTTTTGTCTTTTCCTAGGCTTTCTTTTTTGGTCTAATACGTGTGTTCATGCAGTAATTATATTTTTTCTCAGGGTCAGAGACCGATGAGCACCAGAGCTGTGCTGCAGATTGCTTCAGCCCCCTCCTGCTGTCCCCTCTTGTAGCTCTGATCTTATTTGATAGATATTCTCAAGCTGTGTTTCTTAATGAAACTGTCTTTAAAATAGAAATCCGTGGGTTTACAGAGCTACAAATTTTTTGCAGTTGTGTATCTGAGACAATTTTATATATTGTTTGAAATTACTCCATTAAGCTTATGTTCAGCTGTTCCTAGCATACTTCTGTTCCGTGTAAAAGGTGTGCTCCTGTCGCACTTCCAGACACAGGTGTCCTTGGTTGACAGAGTTTCTCTACTCGCATGTGGAAATAATTGCATGACACAAAGAACGGTGTTAAAAACTGCTTCTGCTTTCCTTGCTTGGTTTACAGAACGGGTCTGTTGAGTCTCTTTGTCGAATGCTTTGGATCTGGGTTGTTTAAAAAGGACTAGTGGCTTCTTGTGGTAATCCAGGGATTCTCGTCCTGAGACTCACAATCCACCTGCACAGGGCTTCCTGAAAACATTGAGGCTTTTCACAGTTTTCAGCTTGACCGTTCCCATTCGCTCGGCAATTTTGCAAGTGAAAACCTTCATAAATCTCTAGATTCCGAGATGCCTCAAGCAAGGACTTTTCGCGGGGTGCCTAAAGTTCTCAAACGACTCAGATTTAGTATCAGTATCAGTAAGTAATGTCTAGTAAAGAACGTGTCTTGAAAAGCCTGAGTCATAGCAGTACCTTCATGTTCTTGTCAACCTCTTTCAAGTAGACAAGAAGGTCTCATTTTCAATCTAAAAAATTGCATAAAGATATTTAAATAGTTCAGTCTTGTGGCTTTAGGACACAACTCCTGGGCTGTATAACAGACTTAGAAAGCTGGAATCTCCCAAAATGAGGGAAAACCAAAGCATTGCAGCCAAATTTTCATCTGTCTTCTGCACTTGAACTTGTAAACTTGCACATGAACCCTCTGTGCCTGTCATAAGCATATTTACACACACTAAAGTGCAAGTGGAAGGTCAGGTTAGGTAGCTGTTTGGGTGGTTTGTACACAGCAAAGTTGGGTTTGCATATGCTGATGTGGTATGGCCTATTTCCGCAAATGGAAATTTGAGGCCACTTTCGCAGAATGTGTTAACTTCGCATCGCCAGACTGCTCGGCTCTTCTCTGAGGAGCGCACACACAAAATTAGGTAACACACTCTGAATGCGAAGCTCAGACTATTTACCCCTGTCTAACACCAATATCAATTAGAAGGTTCATTGCACCGTGTGTTTGATTTCTTTAATAAAGCCAGCCAACGCATAGCAGTTACATCTGAAGAAGGAAGAGAAAGAAGTCGATGTTTACAGTTCTGGCACTAAAATTCTCAGCGTTATAAAAAAAAAAACCCTGATTTCTTTGTTTATGAATTTGTAGAACTAGAAAGATATTTGCTTAAGGAAAAAAAAAGTCTTTTTTAAGATTGCTTTTCCATTGTTACTTCTAGGAGGTAGCTGTGATGTCAGGAACAGTTGTCGAGGAAATAACAGCCCTTCTCTCCTGTTTGTAGCAGGATTTCAGATTTGGCTCGCCCAGGGACACAAGCATCATTTGTATTTCTGCATCTCTGGGACGGAACAGATTTGTCTAGTTTTTTGTTTTGCCTTTTGGTTTTGTTTCAATCTTACTTAGGTTAGGCATAGCTCTGTAAAAATCCCAAACCAAGTAAAACAAATATTTTATGGTCTGTCTGATCTTCCAGCCTTTTCATTTCTGATGTTAAAACATTTTTATTTCTGATTCACTATGTACGAAAGCCAAAATGACTGAAATTTCAATTCTGGATCAAAATCTGGCAGCTAGTAAACTACAAAACTGTGAGGGAAAACATTGTTCTGTATGCATGAGACATGAAAATTAAATGTTTAAGCAAAAGATTTTTTCAGATGTTTAGGTTTTCCATATGAATTGTCCCGCTAATACTGGCATAAATCTTTTACAAATACCGTAAGTAATACAAATGTTTGCTAATAGCTTGTTTGATTTTGAACTTGCTTCAATTGCTTTGGCAAAATACTATTCCCGAGTGAGTAAAAGAGTAACTGGGTCCGCAGCCTTCAAGTGCGTGGCTGCAGCTGTGAGTCACCTCATGACTGTCAGTACTGCCTTGGGATCTCTGATGACTGCAGCTGGTCAGTGTGCTGTGTCACCCGGTACAAGCCGTGTCACAGGGCAGCCGCGAGCCACGCCAGTGAGCACATCGCGCGGGATGTTAGGTCAGTGCTGACTCAGAGGGGAAAGGAGTACTCATCAAACCCGTGGCAGTGTGAAGTGCTATGTGAATTAGGACCTCTGTTTATGAAACGGCTTCACCCACGCTCCCATTTTCATACTTTTTCTCACAGGGCGGTGTGACAGTTCCCTAACCTGAATTTGTGGAAACGAAATCAAAAAGGGGATGAATTTGACATGCAGATGTCTGACTTTCATCTTTTTTTATTAAGCACTTGAAAATGTTTATTTATTTATTTATTTATACACACGCACACAAATATAATCTCACATTTGCTTTACAGATAATTAAAAGTCCTGTGACTGTGGCCTTCTAAAATTACTGCCCTATCAGTCAGCTAAAGTTGCTTTTGGGCAGTACCGATCTGTCAAACCAGCCATGAGGTTCCAAATCGATTTCTTTCAGATCTTAAAGTGACTTGGCACTTGAGAGGGCTGGGTGCGATGCTAAGCCTCCCACTAGTCTGGAAATGCAGAGAAGCAGATGATGCCACCTGCAGCTCTCCTTCCAGACGCCGATGGAAAGCCCTCCCTTCTCACTCAGGCTGTTGAATCGCCTGCTCGGCAAGGCAGGCGTAGCGACCGGCTGTAGCTGAGCAGTGTATTTTAGTACCAGTACCTGTTTTTTCCCATGGAGTTTGAAATGTCGAAAAGTCTACTAAAGTTCATAAGCCTTTAAGGCAAGAAAAGGAGGGAAAAAAGAAAGCAAGAGGGATCTAAGTCCATGTTGCTTATGGCATTTTGTGAAGCCTCTTACACCTGCACAAGATGTCTGTAAAGAGACACTAAATTAACCCGCTGCGTCTTGTTTACTTGCTTTGCATGGGTGTAAATGATTAAATAAAATGCCAGGCAGTGGAGGATTCAGCATAATGATTGCACTGTTTTAGCTTGCTCTGCATGGCTTGTTCTATTAATATATGTTTGTGGTCAGGAAGGAACGCAGTCTCACTTCGCTAAAATCTGAAACTCGGTAAAGCATAATATGTGCAGTATTAATTTTGGTTTGACACCTGCCAGGCAAAGATCCGCACCAGCCAAAGGCATTCTTCTCAACCGAGCTCCATCTGTTGCGCAGATCTTCAGTTCTGATATTTCTAACTATTCGAGCCAAAGCAAAAAGAAGAGCCAACTTGAAGAAAAATATCTCTAGGAGGAATGAACGGTTTTATCAAGGCTAAATATAATGGCTTGTTGTCATACTTGGTTTAAGTCCTGTAAGGGAAACATGTACGATTAGTTGTGTTATATAAGAAAGCAGTCCTTCATACTGGCAGTATGATTTTTGTTGTTGTGTGAAAGGAACATGGACAGCTAAAGTCCAAGCACATAATTTTATTATTGTTGAAATGCTGCAGCCTTTAGAAAGATTTCTCAGTAAGAAAGTTGCGAGTAAAAAATTTACTCACTTACTGTATTCGGCAGATAAAAAGCCCAAGGAGTCTGCCGTGATTCTTGCACGCAAAGGAGCAGCAGGATTAACACTTGCCTCAGCTCTTTGAAAGACAGCTCAGGCTATTTGAAATAAGCATTCAAGTAGCGTCTGTCGAAAGAAGTTAACTTCCAATCCCCTGACAAAATTTGCGTGATGAGTTTGTCACCTAGCTGACAAAATAATCATTAATTGCTCCAGTTGTCTTTGTTTTGCACTTAGAGTGGGTGAGTTACTGTGTTGGAGCTGCCCTGCCCGCCCGGGTAAACATTTGCCTCCTATGAAACCATGAGAAGTCTACTGCAAATATGAATGTGCTTTATGATTATCATGACTTCGTACAGCCATCCGCTGATTGTTAATTATTATTTGTGATAGCGTGGAGAAGAAACTTGACTGAGAGAAATGATGGCTCTGTGTGCTTCAGACCAATAATTAATGGTTGAAAGTGCCGTGAGTATTACCAGACTCCATTGAATTCACTAAGAACTGCAGAGCATTCCAAAGTATGTAGAAATCCACTGGCATACTTCAGAATTTGATTTTTTCTGCATTATTTCTAGAATTGACTCTTGGTGTGACTGCCGGCATGTAAACCAGAGACTCTCGTCTCTGCTCTGTCAGGCTATCATGTAGCTTTGTGCTGTCTAACAACGAGTTGCACCTGGCTTCCAAAAAATGGTCATACGTCTTCTTTCCATATAACTTTTCAAGTCATATTGGTTCATTTGGAAAAAAATCTTTGGCCAAGGTCTGAATGCTCAGTGTCTGTATTCGAGCAGTTCTTCCAAATAATTCCTAAAAGCTCAGGTGTTCCTCAGAACCTCCCGGCTGAGTAGATATTTCTTTTTTCCTCAGTGTAATGCTGCATGCTGGAGCTGTTCGTGCATTCATACCAAAGGTATCTGCAAGGATGCCATCGTTAGCTGTGGCTTCAGTGCTGATGCATACAGCTTATTTACGTATAACAATATAGAAATTCATAGGAAATACCAAGCAAATTTTACTTCCACTTCGGTGTCTACAGCAGCATCAAATGCTGCTAAAAATAAAGAAGTATAAAACCACAGAATGATTAAGTCCAGTCCTGTCTGTAATGCTTAGGTAATCCTGCTTGAAAAGAGAGCAAATATATGTTGTGTTTGTGTTTTCTTTGCATAGATATTCTTTTCCTTGCATGCATCTGTAGTCGCTATTTTATTTATGACATTAATTATTTGATTTCATGGTATGCAACAGCGGAGAAATACTAGGTAGGGTTGTAATTCATTTTTTGCATGAGAAACAGAATAACATCCACACTACTAACTGCTGAAACTTCCTCCCTGCTCTTCCCAATAAAAAGCAAATGAACAAGTGAAAACCCTTTCAACTCCTTAAGCTCAGGGATTGCTCCCTATGGCTTGAAAAGGGTGAAAACTTAAGACAGCACGAATTTATTTAGGGACTTCTCTGTCAATCTGTTTAACATGGATTAATACTGAAGGCCATCAGTATAGCAGAAATCTGTGGAGGTACAAAACCTGTAAGGCAGATTAAAAAAAAGTTCAGGAAAACTGCGTAGCTACTGGAACTGAATAGTGGGAAAAGAATTGAAAACTTTTGTCATGAAATCTGAATGTTTATGTTTCAGGTTTTAGCAGTCTGCTGCCACATCTGCAGCTACTAGGCAGTCATTAGCAAGTGATAAAGAATATACAAATTAGCTGCTGGTATTGAGCCAAAATAGAAGCATCTGCATTCTTGAATTGCCTGTAGATTTACAAAATTTTATGCTGTCTTTTTTTCCTACCCTAATACTCAAAATGTACTTAATGTCACAAAGCATGATGCTTTAGAGCTTACACAGGAGAAGAGATTGCCAGTGAATGAAGATATATGTACTTTTTAATTACAGCAGTAATGCTGAGTCCCAGCAAGCTTTTGGCAGGAAGGAGCTGAATTTGGTACCATGGGTGGATTCTGCTTCACTTGAGGGAGACCGTTTAAAGTTGCCATAGATTTATGTCAGGATCATGGTCACAATTTATTCTGCAAGTTGGCTGTCATAGTATTAGATTCCAATCTATTTAAAACAAGACAGAGAACTTCCTGTCTTTTAATACAAGTCTTAAAAAAACAGCACAATGTGGAAGAATGCAGCCAGTCTTAAAAATTTATTTCATATTTACTTTCATTTCGATGAGTGCCTTTCACAATTTAATTACAAGACATGGAAATGTAAATTACCATGACAGAAGTACGCTTACGAGTAAGTGTTTTATGATCACTAATTGCCAGAGGTTGGTTTTATTCATACACGTTCTGTACAGTAACGACTGTTGCATTCATCAGATCAGAAATTATCAAGATACAGAAACTTTACAATCCTGCATTTATGAAGCGTAACTGCGATGTATACTCAGACAAACATAAAATTTTCTGTCAATTTTCTGTAACGTAGTCAGTTGAAAAAAATGTGCCGCTTTCTAAACCCTTATTTTAGGTGTTTTTCTTTTAAAGTGCTTATGGTACAGATTCCATTCTGTAGTTTAGTCTGAGAGTTTAACTGACCAAGATTTGATTTTCATTACATTAGAGAAGATAGTATTTATTCTGGATTTATACAGGAAGGTTATCTGGGTCTGTTGTTCCTACAAAGGTGCAGGTTTTCCATCACTGGGATTCCCCCATGCTGGGTCAGCTCTATGGCAGGAAGAAGAGGGAGTTCCCAAGCGGAAGTCAGAGATCAGCACATGCTTGGCAGTCATCGTTAAATGGTGTCCTCTGATAGCCTCAAATGGGATGAAGGTGGTGCGCATCTCTTTGGTAGCAAGCAGAAGCCTCCAGAGGAGGCAACCACCACAGATAAGTCTTCCACCTTGCAACTACCCATGTAACTCACCACTCGCATTCGGCAGAAGAGACAGAGAAACAGCTGCGCATGTCCTAAAAGCAGAAGGCGGCTATACATCTTCTCCAAGTTATTTTAATATTCTTCTGTACGTTATTTTCATCTGAGTGTATTAACTTTATATATGGAAAGATACCTATAATGGGGTCAGCTGTCTTGCTTCAAATAGTACAGGATTTGGTTCAATTTTTTCTCGCTCCTTGGTCAAACACTTTTTGAAACCCGCTGACACCAGGAGGCGAACCATAGTGGTTTTGAATGGACTTTGGACGGCCTGCGTGATCCGTGCTGTTTGCAGATGTATAGAAAAGATACGCATGTGGTGATATACAGAAGAAAAATATTTTTCCATGTTCCCTGGAGCATGATTATTTGGAGCTGTTGCAAAACACTAGTGTTCCCTTCCCAGGCTTTGCATCAGTCTGGTGTTTAATTAGCAACAACAACATCAAGGAAAAGAACAACACCCAAATTATATAGTAGGGGTTGGTTTCTGGATAGTCTGTTCTACTTTTTTCACTGATCAGTGATTTGAGCTTGTTTCTTGTGTTTAAACAGGTCCTGAATCAGACCCTTCTAAAGTTCACAGCAACCTTATAATGCTTCATGATCATTTTTAACTTGCACAGGAGGGAGTAAGCGCTGCATTCTCCATGCAGGCCTGCCAAGTGTCGTATATCTAGTGTGATACTTTCCCATCTGGCACTCCAGTCATTCATTGCCACAGGTTGGCTTAGAGCTCATGAATTTGGATGTGCTGTAGGAAGAGGGCAGGCATTTGCCTGCAGTTCCGCCTGTTAGGACAGGGTTGGGAGGGAACAGCTGAACAAGAAAGCAGAAGAGCAGCTGTACAAATGGAGGCTCACTGTCACCTCCCATTCCCCTTTCTAACAAATTCAGCCAAGCCACCCCCTGCAGTTATCCAGCACCTTCTGTTTATTCCCCCCTTCTCACCAGGACCGCCACCATCATCTGCCCTTTGACTTCAGTGATCTACAGCACCCATGGGATCCCTCAAAACGCTTACTCTCTGCTTTCCCTTTCATCCAGCATCTCTGGTGGCTCAAGGGGGGCTGCAGCTCTCAGAAGTCTCCGATCCCTCCATTAGTGGGAGTGTTTCACACTTGCCTTCCAATTCAGGTTCTGCAACCCCACCTCACTGCTCTTGAAATCCTGTCTCAACCTGATCCGCCAAGTGTTGTTCTGCTTCGTGCCCCACTTCTACCGTTGTGCTCAGGCCAAGGGGATTTCACTTTAAAGCAAATATACCTGGTTATGTGCAAGTTGTTTGCTATTGTGACATTCAGTCATTAAATAATTTCTGGAACATAACACAGCTGCCGAAACACACAGCACACAGTCTGGCAACCATGACCGTGCCCGTTCAGTACCCGCTGCTGGGTCTGTGGTTCAGGCTAGTTGAACAAGTGCACTGTGCTCCGAGGGGGCTGGAGTGAAGCAGAGCCTGGCACTACGTTCTTTATTATATACGTTTCCCTTTAGCTGAAGTGCCCCAAATGTCGCTGGCTGCTGGCACGTTAGCCACGATGATTCTGTGGAGCTTCAGAGTCCCTTTTAGCATAATTTCCTATAGTAACCAAGGCGGTGCGCTCCTCCGCTGTGGGCCATTGCATGTGTGATGTACGTCTAGTAGCTTCTGAACCTGTTGGCCAACTTCAAGAAGCCTGCCTAGTTGCTGTTGTGGTGAGGAGCAATTTCACGAGTGCCTTGAGAATCGGTAAGCAGCTGGAGGAGAGAAGTCCTGAAGTACGAGTCAGCTGTAGGACTTGCACCTGGGAAAAACAAGACTTCTTTGGTTTGCTGCTTGTGGAACTGCTTGATCTAACTTTAGCACTTCTCGGGGAAGAACTGTACTCCAGATGCCAGGAAAGACGATTAAAGAGGACTCTGAAACGCTTGCTTTGAACTCTTCAGAAATTATGAGCAGGATCTGGTAAGAGGGTCAAGTGAACAACAGTTAGTGACTTGAGTCCAGATCACTGAAGGACTCTGTACACCTATCAGTAGGAAATGCTGAGGCCAGATGCATGCCCAAGCAATTACTCCTCTTTAGAGTCCCATTCCAGCTACGCAGGATCTGAAGCCCAGAATCACCTACTTGTTTCTGATGAGATTATATAAAAATTAGAGCATTTGCCTAGCATTGTTTCTGCCAAAAACGCTTGCATTCAATTTTGCTCTGTGTCAGCATACCCCTTGCTTCCCAGGAGAGTTTTCTCTCCACCAGGCTCCATTCTGGAGGCTGGGAAGCATTTTTGACCCTTCCCAGGGAAATCTTTATAGTTTTTTCTGGAATGATTTATCAGGAGAAAGGAAATGAAGAGGAGCATGACTGTGCGCCTCAGCATTGGGATGTGCAGCTTAGAGAGATCTGGACTCCCATCTCCTCTTCTAGGGCTGCTTCTGTCTTTTTATCCGGTGAGCATGTGCATGGTCATTTAAATGGATAAAATACAGAGGCAGCGCTGGAAGCAGAGATCAGTCCCCGGAACATCCTTTCCCAAGGGACAGATTTATTAGATAGTTATTAGATAAGAGGTGGGCCATTGTATCCCTGGCTCCCCAACTGTCTCCTGAACTGCCTGTGGAGTTGTCCTTGCAGGATTAGGCAGCAGCTGATTGAGGTACATCATTTCCATCAAAGTCTCTTTTATACAGCGAAGAGCAAAAGCCAAAAAGTTGTTTTTGTGTTCCATCATGTAAAAAGGTATTGACTGCATAAGGGAGAAGGCTCCCTGAAACTCCAACAGATGCTTTTGGTCGTGCACAGAGGAGTCATACTTACATGGAGAAGGGTCCTTTAGACAAAACTGTAAGGCACTTCGGGCTGCTGGCAGTTCTGAGGAATCGACTGGGTACTGTGCAGATCACCCAAAAATGTCTCAGCACTTTTCACTGCTGTGTTCTGTGTTGGAGCCAAGCTCGCTTGCTCCCCACTGCATTGCAGCAGCCTAGAGAGCAGGAGGTCAGTTCTTCGATCTTGATAAAGATTTTCCCATGGCACAACACAGCCTAAGAGATGATCTCAGCTTTTTTCATCACCTAGAAATGGTGATGACAAAGCAAAAGCAAAAAAAAAGTCCTTAAGTCATTCAAAGCCCATTTTCACTGGACTTTATGTTGCATCCTCCCACTTGTGCCAAGCGGGACAGAGCTGGGGTGAGTTTATTTTCCATCCCCCGGATTGTTGCAACATCTTCTTGGAGTCTCCTACTTAAAGCTGGAGAGGTCCTGAAGAAAAAGAAATGCAAAAGTGGTGACCGGCTGCCTTTGCCCCATATATAGCTTTGGTATCTGGGTTACTCTGTTTTGTCTGGTACGTCTCTGTGATACTGTCTATTTATATCCAGTTCTGTTTCCTGTCCATGCTCACCAGCACCGTCGTATCTCCCGGTCTGTGCAGTGGTCTGGAAGCACACATGTACACACAGGCCAGAAGTTGTCAACATCGCCTGTTTTTTTAACCGGGACAGCTAGGATAAAGGCTTAGGGTGGATGAGCTTCCTTGAGCAGAGAGAGCTGGAGACGGGGAGGAGCGCATTCCCTCATGCTGCAACTTCAAATAGAAGAAGCTGCAGGTCTTTCTCTGGGTTGGTTTCAGCTCCAAAACCAGGGTGGAGAGTGTCCTCTCCACCTCCAGCCCAGAGAAAGGGCATTTTCATGGTCCCAAGCACCACGCCAGCGAGCTGTCCGGCAGTCCCCGGAGAGCAGCTCCGCACCAGGCTGGCTCGCTCCCCAGCACAAAGCCGTCGGCTCTCCATTCCTCAGGGTCTTAGTGGCTTCAGCATGAGCAGCAAGACTTCAGCCTCTCAATCTCCGCAGCGCGCAGCCCTGGCACGTTGCGGCGTAGACCATGTCCGCAGCTGAACACGGTGTTTCACTGGGTGTGCTCGCTGGAGGTGACAGCACCGCAAATCGCCTTCTCCGGGGAAACCCTCGACACCCCGCGGCGGTGCCCCAAGCCCTGCTTCTTCCCGTTTCTAACAGTGCAGTCCTCATTTTGCTAAGCTGAAGCATGTATCTAACATAAGAACGTACACCTCCACATTGGATCCACCTAAAGCAAGAAGAGCTTCACATTTTTTGCAAAATTGAGGTCTCAGTATCTTAAATGTACCTTTCAAATGCAACTGCAGGATCTGCATAATTGAAACTTTTGCTCTAATCTTGTTACCTCCCTCAGGCAGTTCCTGAAAAATGGAGATTATAAGTGAGGGTCTGTAGCAAACATAACTAAAAAAAGGCATCTTTAATGTTTTTGCAATGTGTTCAAAGCAGCTTGGGTGCTGAGCACAGAAAACTCATTTCCCTTTTACCTGAAATGCCATTATGTTTGTTAAATTGAGTGGCATTAATCCTAGAACATATCCAAATCTTTTTGTGATTTTGCATTTGTCATAACTAAAAGATCTCACTAAATATTTCTCTATACCTCTAAATAATACTGCCCATCATGTAATACTTGTCTCAGATTTTCCTCAGTGACTTTGTATCATAGCTGAAAAAGAGCTATCACAGAAAATAAAATGGGACTAAAATAACAGTCCTTTGTATTAAATTTAACATTTGGCTTCTGTCCCAGAATTTTCCACATCCATATTAGAATCAGATGGTAGCGTAAGATGAAAAGATTTCCTGGATGGATTTTATTCTTATTCTTATTAAAGGGCTGAGAACAGGCTGAAGGCAAGATACTTGTTGTAGTAAAAAAATCTGCCTAATATCAAAGGCTGGATGGACAAGCTGACATGTATTATTGTTAGGCCTCCCTGCTTGATCTCATTTCAGTATCATAAAATCATTCTGCTAGTGAACATGAAGTATAAGAATTCCAGCGTGAAAGCAAAAAGCCCAGGCTGGCAGGTAGCGCTCCTTTGGGCACACTGCTTTATGCTTGGTAGCTGACCATAAGCCAATGCAAGGGTTTAATATCAAAAAGTAGTGTTGGTGACAGGACAGTGTAGCTATAATTAGTTTAAATTTCGGTTATTCTCAAATATTTGCATTCATGAAAGGCACTCCCTCGTCCTGACTTACCTGTGGAGTTGGTATCACGTGTGATTTGACAGCGTGGGGCAGTCCCGCCAGCATTGCTCAGCCTTCTTCAGGAGCCGTGCATCCTCTGCCCTCTGTCCCCGAACCAGCCACTTGCCCTGCGTTCCTTTGGCAATCTGGAGACAGAAAGATCAAAGGGACTTAAATACTCTTCAGAAAGCAATTTTCCCTTTACTCAAAGCAGCTTTGTATAGTACTTATGTATGACTGGGCTTAAATTGTACAAATGTTTGCTGGCTCTGCGTATTCTATGCAAAAACAATTACTTTTGAGAAAACGAAGGAGTGGTACTTTCTAGTGCTGCTGTTCTGCTGTAGTGGAGACTGCGAGCATGATATTGGAGCAATAAATTAGATTTTGCAAAGCGGCTCTTCTGTAGGAAGTCTGCTGCTTCAGACCGACAGGCTATAATTAGCATTTTCTTGGGGATATTTTTGCTCTGTTTTGACGCAGTATCTTCAGCAACAAAAGTAGAGCAGCAATTGCAGGTTGCATAGACCCTTCATTTCACCTTGTGATCGCAAAGGGTATCGAAGAGCAGATATGCTTTATAGATACCTTATGCTGCTTTTCTAAATGCACCTTTTTAAAACAATTGCTATGCGGTTTGAATTTACAGGCAGAGAATAGTTTCACCAGCACTGGTGTTTACAGCATCAATGTCAACATCTGAGCTTATACCCAGCTTTTACAGTCAGTGGAGAGAAATGTGCACGTTTAGAGCGGTAATTCATCTGATCTATTTTAGACATCTTCCTTCCAGTGAGATGGATTGTATTCTAAAAGAGCCTATTTCTTTCCTTAGTGATAATTAATCCTAGTATAATTAGTTCAGGGGCTATCTGTAGTTAGGTGAGATGGATCCCATACAGCATGTTTCTGTATAGCACGGTATTCTCACTCTGCTATTAATCCTTTTTTTTTTTTTAAATTATCAGATTACCATAGAGAATACACAAAGAGATCACTTGTGTTTTTAAGAAATACTTGGTTCAGTCCCTAAGAGATTTTCACTGCTAATTATTACAGCTGCCTTAATGCTTCCTGTGAAAGCTGGTTTGGTAGTTGTATTGATCCTGTCCTCCGTGACTCAGGTACCAGTTCGATGCTAAACATCTTCTCAGATGAAGGGTGCGTTCTGGGCCTGTTGGGTACTTGGGCAATACTAAGGGACATAGGGCAGAGATTTCTGAGAGAACACGGCACTTCCTCGTGCTCTCCTGAAAACAGCTTCAAAGAGGTCAGATGAATGGGGCTGTAGCACATACATGCCTGTTTTCAGGAGTGTTACTACAACGGGAATGAGGGATAAGGAAGCATGATTTGTATTGGGGAACAGTGTTGATGTCCTGTTCATTTGGGTTCACCTGAACCATGCTTATACGTTCATTCAAATAGAAGAAAAGCCCCCAGAGCGGGTCTCCTCAAGATGAGTTTGCCATATATGACAGGACACAAAGGGGCAAGTAGCATCTTAGGAGGCAGAAGAATTTCCTGTGAACAGCCCTCAGCAAAAAAAAAAGAGTAATACCTAGTAACTAAGGAATCAAAGTTATTTCTGAAGTGTATAAACAGAGTCACAGAATAGGAGTAATAAGGTATTATTGGTCCCATATTTGTCATTTGTCACAGTATCATATGGTGCAAGCAGATTGATTTTCAGAGGGTGATGGCTGCTGGAAACGCATTCCTTGAAAACCTTACTTGTTCACTACCCCAAAATCTACAATTACTTTTGGAAGTCTTGGCTATGGAGTAGAATTCTGATATCTGGACTATTGACACCCAAAACCTCAAGGCTCCCTAGTGTGGTCTGCTGAGCATTAGTTTTCTTCTAATTCATTTTCTGGCTGATTATGTAATTAATTTTTCTAGGTGCGTATGTATTCTGCTTCTTTAATTAATTAATTCTTTCACCTCAGCTTTGCTTATTCCCTCCTTTGTCAAGATCTTACATTAATATTTGCAGCATTGCCTAGTGACATGTGTATGCATTTTCTTTTCTTGTTTTCTTTTTTTACAGATGTAACTGAAATTGCACCGTGTATTTTGAAGACTTCACCAACCGATCAGCAGCTGAACAAGCTCGCAAGGAGACTGGGACCCGAATGGGAGCATATAGTTCTGTGCTTGGGTTTGTCCCATACTGACATCTATCGATGTAAAGTCAATCACCCTCACAACCTGCAGTCACAGATCGTAGCTGCGTTTGTCCTGTGGAGACAGCGTTTGGGGAAAAAAGCAACAATTCAAAGTCTGCAAGCCAGTCTGATGGCAGAAGAAGTGGATCCTTCCGTGATACTGTACATGCTTGAGTGAAGCCTTGCTATTGCTTGGGAGCTTTCAAGTACTTCGTTAAATTAAATAAAGAGGATTCACCAAAATGTATGTTGAAGATCTGACGCCTCAAACTGGAAAAAAACGGGGTTGGGAACTGTGGTTTTATTAAGCTGAAACATTCCAGCTTTCTGTGGCATCTTGTGACTTGTAATTCTTTTCATGCCAGATTAATTTTTAGGAGTCATTAAAAATGGATCACTCTAAAAAAAAGTACTATTCTACTGGGGATATAGGAGGCCCTGCAGTGAGTTCAGCAAGGTTCCTGGTTTCATTGCAGGAGCAACACTTGGTTTAACCTATTTTCTGGACTATGTAGGAGCCTTTTTTCCTGCTGTTCCATGCTAGTTCCCTGATATCCCACCAAGAAATGAGAATAATCACTGTTACTAATTTAACGATTTTACAACAGTTATTGCAGGTGGCTAATTTCACATGTATAAAGTTTTAGCACATGCAGTTTCTTGCTAGGAGAGATGGCTGCTGCCTTAGTCTGCCTTTGAAACTGGCCCTAAGTGGAAGTAACAGGAGCCTAGTGTGCCTGTGAGGGTTTCTCCCGTTATTATTTAATGGGTGTAGGTTTCTGCAAGGAGACAGGCACCGTCTGGCGTATGCCATCTCTTAGCATAGCACGGGTGGGGAGTTCTCAGAGAAGACACGCAGTAGAAAAGTGACCAGAAGATAGGCGGGAACAGGCAAACAGAGCAAGAAGGGGCCTAAAAAATGAGACAACTTCTAAGTTGTCCGTGTTTGCCTCCGCTAATACACTGGGAGGCAACCTGGTGCCTGCTGAGTCTTTGTACTGTGCTCTGGATCCAGGCAATCTTGTTTCAGAGAAGTTTTACTCTTAGGTCAAGTGTCCATAGGCACCTTTCTCTGACCACCACATGCCCGACAGGGTACTGAAGTTTGCAGGTCCTTTCTGGTCAAGATGAACTCCCCACTGCTCTCCTTCCAGCTTGTGCCATCCACCAGGCTCGTTTGCTTTCTGCCAGCTTTTCTGCACCTAATGGGGGCAGCTTCGACACTCCTGTCCCTGGTTCTTTCCCAGCTGTAATTGTACCACCATCCAGAAGAACAGTAAAGCTTGGGCTTTTCTCCTCCTTCCCCCCTGTCAAGGAGGTTTTCTTCCTGCTGGAAGAAACCACCGAGGTTTTTGCTGACCAGGTAAGTGGGGATCAGTCCACAGGGTCTGTATCCAAAGGCAATGGAAGTGACCAGCTGCCCTCTGAGGCCTGATGATAAGAGGCAGAATACGTTTTAATTCTCCCTGAGCAGTTTGCTGTACAGTAAACAAGGAACACAGTTTGGATGCCAGGTTTCCAGGTCTATTTATGAGCAAGTTACGGTAGACTGTTTCATCTACAAAGTCATAGCCAAGTAACTTCCTATCCTACAACATCTGCCCTGTATAATTTAACAGCTTAACAGCCTTGTCAGAAGTCTTTATTGGGGCAAGAATGAACTTTACTGCCTTTTTTTCTTTTTTTTTTTAATTCTTCCTATACCCAGATTTTGGAATACATCTGGGAAATTAGGAAAGACAAAGGTATTTTAAGGAAATCCTGTCTGCCTTGATTTTCAGAAGCGTGGAAACAGAAAACATATCCTGGCAGGATCAGCTCCTGCAGGTCCCAAAGCAATCTGGTGGTTTTTTGGGTTTAATCTTCTGTATACAGTTCTGACCTTCAGTAAGTCGTGATCCTGTTATACCTCACTCAGATCTTAACTAATCATATCCTATTATGGCTGCTTACAGAGTTCAAGTCTATCAACAAATCCCAAATAAACAACGAAAATCAGTTTAGGCCTTGGGATTTATTTATTTTTCTCTTTCATGATTCTTTAATGCCAGCATATTCTTTTTTTGGTTGAAAACCATCCTAGAGCAGGTGTACAGATATTTGGCAAATTCCTAGGAGCACGGCCCAGCGTAGGGAGTGTGATGAGGACTCTGAAGCAATTCTGCCGGTGAGATGGGCAGGAGCGCCGTGGCCTGCATGTTAGGGAAGAGGGGCAAAGCAGTGTCCCTGGCAGCGGTTTGGAGGAACAAAAGCTGGAGGTGGGGAGCAGGAAAAACTACTGAAAACATGACTTAGAGGAAGAAGCTGGCTCCTGGCGACATAAATGCAAGTACCTTATCTTGTTCTGAGCCAGCATGGACCAAGTCTTAGCACAGACTGGTCTCCAAGGGAGTCATCCCCAGTTAACCCAGCATGAGCGCAGTGCTCCGGGAAGGCAGCCAGTCCAGGCAGTAAAGCAGTGTAATGGGCACACTCACGGGGCCCTGGTACCTTCTTCTTTGGGTGAACTTTGCATTTCATGTTCTTCATTTGTAAGACCAATGTCAGGTTATCCGTAACTAATATATTTAGAGTCTTTTCAACGGTTAAGAAAACAGCCTGGAGTAGGTATGAAGTGTCATGCCGAAGAAGCCTTCCTTACAAGGCAGGTATCCTTCTGTGTATCTACTATGGGCCACTGGAAACCTGATGGGTGAGTATCATATCAGGTAATCTCTCCATTTAAAGTGGTCTTTAGTGGGCTAAATTCTGCATCCCAGCAGTGGTACTGAATTACAGGAGCTACGGCTAGACAAGGAATTTAAAACCTGGCCTCTCGTATTGTAGAACAAAGCACTTAATTCATTATTTGTAGTTACTTTCACATTCCCAGGCCCTAAATCAATGCTGTAATACTTGAGTTGCAAATATTGAAGGGAGAGGTTTACTTATTTTATGAGATTGTTTCCATTGCTGTTATTTTTAAATTCATGGAAATGTTCCTATTAGACTCTTCAGTTTTATTCAAGCTTGTTTTTGCACCACACAAATGCAGGGACACATTTAACTTGACAGTAGTATTCCTTTAACCCAGTGGATTTTTCCATCCACTTAAAAATATTTTTCTTCTGTATGTAATGCTTTATTTTGCACAAGGATGCAATTAAGACAATTTAATTCTTCACATATATAGCAAGGCCTCTTATTCTCTCTTAGGACAGCCAAAAGGTCTTAAAATGTTTATTCGTCTCTGGCTAATTTGGGAGCAAATGTTATTTATTTAAATCTCACTCGTAGACAAGCCTGTGACTTGAGTATTGTTCAGGAGTGAGGCAACTCAGTGAGCAAATTTCCCCATCTCTCCCTTCGCCTCAGCTCCCCTGCGCCACCAGTTTGGGTGACGACAGGGGGCTTGCGCAGGGGCTCCTGTCCTCCCCGCCCGCCATGCCCCCAGGACTGGTGGATGGGGCAGGCTGACGGCCAGGGGCAGCCCCCAGCAAGGACTCGTCCCTCTTCCACTGCTCATCGCTTGCGGCGAGGCGTGTGGCCACTCCAGGCTTCAGGCTAGCACGTGGGCTCAGGGGCAAAGGTTAGCCAGCAGCAACTGCTCTCTGATGTGTTTGGGTTTCTTAACCGATGTCGAAAAAGCCTTTCTAGTGAAAATGGTATTATCACTATCTACTTATTTGTGGCAGTGTTTAGGAGCCCTGAGAGAGGGAAAGCATAAAGGTGGCCCCTGCTGGACCTTCCACTGAAATGGATGGCTTAACTTCTAGTCCTTGGAAAAAGTAGTCATTGATTTTCTTCCTTGTTCTATAAAGGAGACTTTGAGATTCCATTTAACTCTCCTAAGTGGTAAGTAGGCTTTATAAAAGCTGTTTTATACTCTGCAAGTACAGGTGGACTCTTAGCATAGTAATAGGTATGGTCTAAGAGCACTACTTCCCACCTGTATAAAGCAGCATGGATGATCACAAAGGAGGGATCTCCTCCGGGCAGAACCATGTCAAGGAGGCTTTACGCTGCGTTGAACAGTGGCTGGAGTGTAGGGTAAAATGAAAATGCAGGCATCTTTGAGCTGCTTCTTCCAGAAGATGCGGGGGAAATGTTCATCTTGAGTCATATGTTATGACAGATCTATGGAATAAAACATTTTGCAAAAGGCTGGAAAAATAAACAAAGTCATATTATATGCAAAGAGTATAAAAGGCACGCTCATCTGATGCTAAATGTGGTCATGCTGCCAATTTTGTTTCTTACTGGAAATAAAAACAGTCTCTGAGAGCTAATCTGTTTATAAGCTTCCATATTCTCCATAGCCATAGACTAATGTCAAGGCATAGTAGAAGCAGAGCTGAAAAGGCAGTTCCTAAAAGCTGTGTGTATTTACAATGAATATTCAAAAGCTTTGTCCAGATTTCACTAAATGAAAAGAATTTTTACTTTCAAGGTGTCTTTCTATCACCTGATAAATAGACCTAAAAATAAATCCAGTGATTTGGCTTTGTTTGGCCTGAATACTTTTTTAACGATTTCCTGTGAAAACGGAACATTTGCCGGAAATGGAAATAATCTTTCAAAATATCTTTCCAGATTAAAAGAAGAGGTATGTGTTTTAGCAGAATTCACTTCTGAACCTAGCATTTTAGTTGTGAAAAAAGATGAATTGGCAATTTCCCTTTGAAGCTGTTGGGGAGAGCTGAATGATCAGGATAGCTGATAATGGCACAGGAAGACTCCCGCCACTCCTGCAGCAGTGACTGCATTAAAATGTCTGCATGTGTTACAGATACCATTTCTGACACTGATGTCTGGTCCAGGCCCCAACAGCAAAGAGACAAAAAGTCTCTTATTAACTTCAATGCGCTTTGGATTAGGCCTTCTTTAATTGGAACCTGCTGAAGCGTGGTACTTTTACTACCTCCCTTTGAAAAGCAGTCTTTATGGATTTGGGGCAATAAAAAGGAAAGAGCTTTTTGTGGGTGTAGTGAGCACTCTAGGTTATGGGGTCCTCTTTTCACTGCCTCAAGTGCTACTTTGCACTATTCACTTCAAAGTAAGTGTCATGAGAAAGGAAAAAGAACAGAGGAGTGGAGCCATTCAGCAAAGGATATCGGTATGTTTCCAAAACCGAGAGATCATTTTGAGTTCTGGAATGTGAATAATCCCCTACAAGGTGGGATTTGATGGCTCAGGAGATTGTTAATAGATTCGTGGAGTTTTCCACCTCGAGATCAAGGATCCAAACCCACGTTGACCCAAAAGAAACGCAACCTAGTGGCAGTCTGTGCAAAATAAACCATGCATTTTCTGTCTTCTATCTTTAGGACTTTCATTTCTGACCTGCGCAGCACCAGCCCTTGCTATCAGACTTACAAAAGGGCATAGAGGATTAAATGAGCCAAGTACTTGAACTGCCCTCTG